CCGCAATCGTAATCCACACAGATTATAAAATCAAATCATTCTTTTAACAACTATCTGCCAGACGCAATTTCACAAACAGCGTGAGTGTTCAGCGGTGCCGCTTCTTTCTCGTCTCTCATAATGTGTTGTGCAAGGCAAGCATCAAGAGCTGCGGCGATAAAACACACTCGCGTTTAGGAGTCGGGACATGATGGATATTCACTCGCACAATCGGGCCAGCAGTGCATCGTGACTGAAGTTTACCATTTGCACGTCTTTTTAAGTGTTACCAGTTTAAACATTCAAGCGATTTTAAACTAATCTCGCGCGCTCTCTGAGAGATTATTTTCTATGCGCACATTCATAGAAAATCCGCCTTAAGAACAGCTGGCCAGTAACAAAAGTTATTTTTCGCGGATTATATTGCTTTAACACGCAAAATTGTCAATTTCGGTCGTCGTGAGTATAGGCTACTCTAAACATAGTCGGTTTTGTCTTTAATAAGCATAAAACGCATGCCAGTATAATGAACACAGGATCCGTGCACTAAGTTACCTCTTAAAGTGACGGCAGCCATATGTGTGTCATTCATTTTGTTGTCAATACAACAAAAGATAGCTTTAAGTTAAAGGAATCAGGATTAATAACCTATGTATTTAATTTATTCAGGACTAAAATACTACTCAGTGTTATTTTCCATTTGATTACTTTATTCAGTTTCCGTATATGAATCACGTGATTAATAATGATGACGAAATTCAGGCCCTGTGTTTAATTTTTCTCATTTGGTTACATTCTGTTATGGAAAATTAATTTTCTATTGATTGTAGGCCTATATTTTGAGTTGTATTCACATCCATTTTCCTGTAAAGATATCGAGATATATATCGAATATCGAGATATAGCAAAATATATCGAGATATATTTTTTGCTCCATATCGCCCAGCCCTAATATTAATTATAATATTTTTTAAGAAGCCTCTTTTAAACTCTGTTTCCAACCACACTTAACCTGCTCAAACAATCACACATCTTTTTTCCTACAACATACACATTCATTATCACTTTTATTCTCATACTTTTCAGTGCCAATTAGATCTGAGCAGGCTGGCTGTGACCCGACATTTGGCCTTCGACCTGTGCCTGCTGGGCAGGTGAACTCTCGGCACACTGTGAGTTTGATTTCCTGGTGATGGATGCCGGGGCCTGAGTAACTCTGACCTTGTTCGGTTTGCCCGTCGAAGGTCACGGTGAAAGAGACAACGTTTTTAACAAAGAGGATTAATTTGTTGTCATGTGTGTGGGTCTCTGTGGGCAATGCTTGCTTCATTAAGAAGAGGCAATGCACAACGGACCCAACTTGAGCTGCCTAAACGCCATTGTACTTTGCGTAGGAGAGCAAATGACAAAGCAGGTGAAATGAGGAGTAGAAATGGAGGTAGAATTATGGAAATATGAAGAATGAGGGATGTTTTTAAATCTCTCCCTGACTCAGCACATGCTTTTACCTGTTATGTCAGAATGTTCTGCATGAGCTCAAACTCTCCAGCACTTGGCTAATTAAAAACATTGCTCTTCTTAATTATTCAGCTGCAGCTAATTGATATTCAGCGAGACACTTTTCCTTCTAAACGACCCGTTTAATTTGACCATGGGGTCTGCTGCGGTGATGCCGAAGTCATCCTGCCGTGCGAGACCGGAGATTGGGTGGGAAGTGGCGAGCTCGCAATTAATACAAAGTTTTTGACGCATTATATCTGTCTAAGTTTTTTTGGAGTTAGAGAGCTGGAGGAAATGCGGCCCATCTGTTGCTTTGGGCTGTGCTGAATTCTCGCTTAGTGGATACAGCATGATAAATGTCACTGGGCATCTGTTTTTATTGCTCATCTCACAAAAGATTCCTTTGTTGATAGTGTTTGGTTGTGTCTTTAAAAGAATAGTTTAGATTATAGTCAACTTAATGTCTATCTGTGGCACGCTTGGCTTGTACTTTTGTGTGTATAAACAAATTGGAAATGCATTTGCTGTTATTTCATTTTTGTTGACACGCTTATGGCGCTGTGCAAAGACATTAGATTGAAAATAACCCAGAATATTCATTTGAGTCAGGCCATTCGTTTTTTTTTTTTTATAATGGTTGTGAGTGGGCAACAACAATGCAAACATTGTCGCAGGGATGGCAGTGTTTTTAATGGGTCAAATAATGAGAAATTACATTTTCCTATATCCCTTGGAAATAAAACGGTTCGCTGTACTTTGAAATTATTATAATAACTTTCAGAACTTCCTTTCCTGTTTTATCAAAACTAAGCAAACCTGTTCTGAACTCCTGACACTATAGATGACTATACACAGATGAGCACTTGGAGCACATCTTCCCACATTCACAGATCAGCAATGTCTATTTAGTATTCAAAACTTGGCAGACACAGTCACAGTGAAGTATAAAGATTAATTTGGACTATTTTTCAGATACTTCCATTCGTGAACATAAGAATAATTTAAAAAAAAGATGTTAAATAAAGCCACATGGTTTTCTGTTCCAGGCTGTGTGTAGCACCTGCAACTCAGAACAAGCAGTGTCCAATACCAAATGTGATTTTAAAATTGTAATATGGATAATAAGGCCAGTGACTTTTTCAGAAAATGCTACATTATAGATGGCTCAAATCAAATCCCTCTAAAACCAAAGACATTCGGACAAGAACTATTCTAATGAAATTTGGTGATGCCTAAAAAAAACATTTTCTTCTCCAGAACTCCATGTGGCAACAAAGGACAGTAAAATCAATACATTAATTAGTCTATTTGCTTTAAAAATATATATATATATATTTTTAGCAATCTTTTCAGTTTGATCTAAACAGCTTGAGCAATACATTTTAATACAGATTATTTTGTGAATTAGTCACGATGTGATGCAGGACGGGACAAACGGAAGGAGCTCACTATAACGCTAACTATATTGGGCCTGAGGGGATAAAACAGTGATCATTTTCTTCTGAAAAACAAAATGTCTTTAAAACAAACTGACACCAGTTTGTTAAAAAAAAAAAAAAAAAAAAAAGTAGAACAGTTGGATTGCAGTGGATTACTGTGGGTGGGTCACTCTCTCTCTTCGTCCAGATTCATGTCATGAGAGGTGTGACTTGTATGATAAATCACTCTCATTGTCCTCCCCATTTTTTGTTCTTTCTTGGTGTTTGTAGTTTCACTTTCATTTCTCAGCCTCCCATCCCACTCCCTGTTCTTCATTAGTGGGATAATAGCGAGCGATTGGTCATGTGACTCAGGGGCCTGCCCCTATGTAAGCAGTGTAATTTGATTATATGACCTGCAGGAGACTGAATGAGTGTGATGTGATGGAAATAATCCTGACAGTCTGTGTGACTGAGCGACAGAGGGCTGCCATATGCCCCCGTGATTCATTGAATGAAAGGGAAAATCCCTGCGTGTGCATTGGTGGCAATGCCTCCCTGTCCTTTAATTGCTCATTGGATACGCTTACACTGAGTTTGTCTACTGGTCTGTGAATGCAGCTGCTCCATCAGTGTGTGTGTATGTGTGTGTGTTTCAGGCTGAAGGTCAATGGTGGTAGCTGCATTTTTTTTCCATTGAAAATTTGGAGCCATAATGTCTCCTTGACTGATTACCCACAATGCTTCTCGCCCACGCAAGGGCCTCGATTGGCTTGCAGACTTGAATGTGTCTGTTTGTGTGTGAGTGCTGGAAGGGAACAGTGCAGAGGTCAGATTTATTCTGCCAGAGGGTTGGACCTCTTCTGTCGAGGGCTGTGGGTGTTTTTAGAGAGCAGTTCTGTCCGTCTTCACTGCTGCAGGTGTGGGACTTGATTAAACTACAACTGTGTGTTGCTATTAAATCGTGTTACACACACACACTCAGAAAAAAAAAGGTACAAAAGCTGTCACTGGGGGCAGTACCCTAAGATACAAAAGCTAAAAGGTGCTAGTATGTACAGGTAAGGTACTAATATATTCTTTAAACGTATTATGTACCTTGAAGGAATTTAGGTGTACATCAAAGATGTACCTTTTTGCTTTTGTACTTTAGAGTACTGGCCCAGTGACAGCTTTGTACTTTTTTCTTTCTGTATTTGTATTTCAAGCTGGTAATATAGCTGCAATATATAACAATTGGTAATTTTGTGTGTGTAAGTGACTGTTATTTTACTATCATTTAGGTAATATTAGATCAGATTTTAAATTATATCATTTTTTTTATGATTTAGTAGTTTTATTTATTTGTACATCAAGTTAAACTAAATCAAAATGACAAATCCTGTGAACTTACATTGAAGGATGGAACCAAACCACATTTAGAGAGCATAATATCAGATAAGCAAGCAAATGACTTGAAAACCACCTAGCAACATGACAACTCAGAATACCTTTACAACCACTTAGCAATGCCCTGACAATGACCTTCAAGGCCCAACCAAAAAGCAAGCAGTTTTCTGCAGAAAAAAATGTCATTTTCAATATTGTCATGTGGTGATGTTACCTTTCCCATTATGAAACGAATGAGAAATTTGCCTGCGTGAGAAGATGAAAAAGTTTAATTTTCTTTGGGATTATTAACACTTCTTAGTGACCTAGAAATCACGGCAGACTTACCTGCGGGTTTATAGGTATACGAGTGAGTGAGAAGTTCATCAGCCGCTCTGGCTCCATGAGCGCTGGAGTTGAGCTCTGATGGAGATCGCTCAGCTCTGATTAGATTTAGATTAGATCAGATTTTCAGGGTTTAGATTTTAGATGAGATTTGTTGTGGAGAGCTCCTTCTCACCTTGCGACAGTGTTTGATAACACAGAGATGAACGTGCCGTCTCTGTGTCCCTGCACTATAGCAACACCCCGCTGCTTCACACTGCAGTCTTTGTGTTTGTGTGTGTGTGTGTGCGCGCTTCAGCCTTTGAATACTGAATGTAATTATAGGAACTTCATCGTTAAATTTCTGTTCTCTCTTTCTCTGTCCTTTTTCTTTCTGCTCCCTCACTCCAGCAAATGGAGAGAAAGGTAAGGCACAAGTGAGGTTTGATTTATACATCCCATATCTGTCTCAACCTGCTTCCTGCTGCAGTACTGCATGCCTAAATACACTATACTCTTTTTGTGATTTACTGCTTAAATTTTTTCTAATCATCATTTTTTCTTTCGTTTGATGTCATCTTGCCATTGTGTTTCTACACTAGCGCATACATTTTCATTTTTGTTTCATTGTTCATGTGTAACGAGCCACATTATTTAAATGTGCAATGGGACACGTTTGCTTACAAAATAAATTAATCATGGCTGAATGTGAATTGCTCAATCTGAAAACTTTTGCATGATGCTGCATCCACGCTGCTACATGTTAGTTGAAGTCCAAGATGACCAGCACAACATAATCAAAAAATGGCTTTTAAAAAATAACATTTTTACTTCTTCTTTTTTTTGTGCAATTTGTGAAAATTACAATTTTAGTTAATAAAATAAACATTTATTAAATTTATATTTTAAGTAATTTATTTTTTGAGTGTTATTTTCTTATGGATTATCTCTAATTTTCTTTTTTTTTGTTTATTTCCTTCTAGTGTATTTTATTTTTTAGGATAGGAAACAGAGCACAACAACTTTAGGGTGAAATTAAACTAGGAATAGTAGAACCACAATCAAAAAGCGATTGGAGTCTGTTTTCAACAGTCCTATACATTTTGAAGGCACAAAAGGCAATAAGTAAAAATTGAAATGAGTGAACATGGCTGTCAGCAATACTGTATCTCCTCTCGGAGTGTGTTATAAATTAGTGAGGGTCACTTCTAGTAGCTGAAGGTCAGGAGTGACAGAGGGGGAGAAGCATGTGCGATAGGACAGAGAATCACGGATAAGGCCATAAAGATTTTTTATTCTTCCACTGCTGATGTTATCGCTTTGTCTCTTGCATTCACACTCACCAAGACTCTAACACACAGAGCGTTCCAGTGAACGTTCCCACGTGAACCCTGTCATGAACTGATGCCCTTGGAATAATCAAAGGTCTATGTCATCTCTCACAATGCCAGCAACCTGAGGCCATAATGACTCTTCAGGGTAGAGAATATCTACTGTGCTGCTATGTGTAAGGATTTAGATTAGTTATGATTGTGCCTGAAAAAATATATTCAAGTTATGTTAATACCTCCCCTCGAAATTTTTATTAAGCCATCATTTACACACACTCCTGTTGTTCCAAAACTGACTTTATTCCATTAAGCACAAAAGGAGAAATTTATTAAACGTATTTTACAAACAATAAAAGTAAATGGTGACCCAATGCTACAAAGCTAAAAAATTATTTCAAGGGGTCCTGTTATGCTTTTCCACTTTTTCAACTTTAGTTAGTGTGCAATGTTGCTGTTTGAGCATAAAAAAGATCTGCAAGGTTACAAAGCTCAAATTCCACTCCAAAGGGATATATTTTTTAACAGAGAATACACTTTCCAAGAACCACAACGAACGACTCGTTTGGACTACAACGCGATTTTTCCGGATCTTATGAAGTCACAATGTTCCTCATTTAAATAATCCCTGCCCCACGGAATGCAAAAAGTGGACGAGGCCTGGTTAAACTGTGTTAGAGAATAGTGTTGTCGCTATGTCAAAGAGAAACTGTTTTTTCCACTCATTTGTTTGACCTTCCTTGGGCTGACGAGAGTGGTTAAAACTGATTTTATATTATAACCCCAACGTTTATCTGTGCGCTGCACACTTTTTAGAGAACAGTTTTTTGTTGCTTTTGTAAGCTCTTGCTTTTGTTAGACCGTTCACAATTTAAACATAGTTTTGTGATCAATTATTATTGTTTGTATTACCTTAGTTTTCCGACAAATATCATGATTAAATGGTGGATAGCATCGTATCTATAATGTATAAGAAAATGACAAAAAAACTCATCTGCAATTTCTTTCTATTCTTCATATAAAGCCGTCAAATTACTTCAGAAGCTTTGAATATAGCGATCAAGTCATATCGTCAACTGTTATGTTATTTTTAGGGTGCTTTTCGTCATTTTTGGAGCTTGACTGCTCATTTACTATCATTGTATGGAAAAGATCAGCGTGAACATCCTGCTAAGCATTTCATTTTGCTGTCTGCTGATGCTAGAAACTCTGTGTGATGTTATATTGAATGCAATTGTGTGTATGTGTGTGTTTTCCACAGGCTAGACAGTTGGAGGAGAGGGACAAAGAGCTCCGGAAGCAGGACGCCTTCTACAGAGAGCAAGTGGCCAAGCTGAAGGAAAGGGTATGACCTATATACATTTACAGTTATATTTTCCACAGTTTCTGAATATATAGTGATGAACGCTAAAGCACTACATTGTTATTAACATGATACGATAACCGTAATTCTCGACAGTAACTCACTAATGCGCGGTGCAGCTGTCCTGAGCTATAGAGGCAGATTGTGAGTCAGACTGTCCTGTGTTATAGAGGCAGAGGTGAGACAGGCTGTCTTGCTTTACAATACCATGGTGAGGCAGGTTGTCTTGATCTGCAATGTGCGGCTGCAATGCTCTCTGCAACCTTGCTCTCTCATTTGTTGTGTCCTCAAACTGACACCCTCCTGCAGCTCATGGTCAGATCCTCCTGTGAGCCTCTGGGATGGGAGGCGTCCACCTTTCCTCACCTCAGATTCTTCACCCTCAAAGGACGTACACATACTAAGCTCCCAGAGGGGTGTGTGAAAGTGTGTGCTAAAATGGTAGATATCTAGTGTTGACCCGTTTTAAATGGGTGTAGGTTGTGTGTCCATAGGTGTTTCAAAGGTTCAGCCCTCTGTAACCATCTCTTTGTGCTTTTTCAACTCATCTGCAGTTCACATACTTTAGTATTAGCAAAACACCTAACATGTCTTATTTACATTTTTTGTAATTAAATGGCAGAATCTTTCGTCTCACTAAGGCTAATTTGATAGCTAGCACTTAAGGTAAAAGTGTATATGTTTTTTCAGTACATCTGTGAAATTTCCATGAAATAGTTTAGGCCGTCTAGACACAACCTACGCATTGATAAATAATTTGTTATTAAAGGGATAGTTCACTCTGAAATTAATTTTTGGTATGTTTTAGCTTACCTCAAGGGCATCCAAGATGTAGGTGTCTTTGTTTCCGCAGTAGTTTCAATTTTGATATTTTTAGGTCAAACCGTTCTTGTCTATCAGTCATATAATGCAGGTCTACGGTCACCACCTCAAAGAGCATGTACAGAGAAGTCCAAATTAAACATGATTTAATGACTCGTAAATGTAAGTACACATTGATGGCCTAAGACACGAAACGAGCGGTTTGTGTGAGAAAACGAACAGTATTTATATATCGTTTTTACCTCTTGTAAACACAGCCACGTCCAAGTGATCTGAGGTCGCCGGCGCTTTGGTCTTTTCCGGCAAGCGCCGGAAGTGATCTCTAGCGCGTGTTTCCCAGGTGAATAGGAATAAAAAAATAACTAATAGATATCAGCATGAAACTTCCCCAGTTGATTAATGACATTAAGACAAATTTCTTTTGTATTACAAGTTTTTAGAATGTGTTTAAATATGCAAATTAGGTATTACCTCATTAAATATGCACTAATTTGCATATATTTCCAGAAGAGAAATCTGAACATTGGATAAAGCCAGATTCAAAATTCTTGTTTAATTTTGTTGACATATTAGAGTCAAAGGTCTTTACAGAGGGGATTATGGATATCTTTTTTTATCACATTAATCAGAAAAAACTGTCAACAGCCATCATAAATCCAACTGGAATACAACTGGAAAGTTTGGTGTATGTAAGTGCTGCTGAAGTGGAGATTTCTGGCTCAGAGTATGAGGAAAAACCCATTTTGAGAAAACGGCCTTTAAAGAATTGACATCAGCCAACGAGATTTCGCTTTTAGAGTTAAATGCTTCATTGTACTTTCATGATTGGTTGCTGATAAAAAAGGAAATGACCATGTTTGGATCCGACAACATTGTACAGGATTTCCAACGGCATATGTGATGACAGGGTGCAGACAGCGATCGTGGAGCAGACTGTTGATTTAGAACGCCAACTTTTGTTGAATTTAGGAGAAATCTACAGACGCAAATAGATAAAGTGTAGTAAAATATTAAAGACCTAAATGTGTATTTTGGACTTTTTTTCACCACAAGTCTGAAAGAAGACATGTTATTCAAGACAAATAGCCCAAAATCTCAAAATTGCCACAGTTTTTGCCTGCCGTGTCTGCCCTTTAAAGCATACATTCACAAACCACTGTTAAAGGAGATAGTTCACCCAAAAATGAAAATTCTGTCATCATTTACTCACCCTCATGTTGTTCCAAACCTGTATGTGTTTTTTCTTCTGCTGAACACAAAATATATTTTGAAGAATATGGGTAACCAAACAGTTGATGGTCCCCATTGACTTCTGTAGTATGTAAAAAAAAAAAAAAAAAAAAAACTGTACTATGAAAGTCAATGGGCCCATTAACTGTGTGGATTCTAAACTACAGTAAATACCTCTGATGAGCCATTGCATTCAAGAAATCAACAGATACGTTTGTGATTGTCTACATTGCTCAACGCTGCAAAAACATGTTGTAAATAGAAACCTTTGATGCTCTCCAGAATGCAAACATGCACACACAAAAGTGTCTTACTTCCTGAACCCGCACTCGCCCATCAAATCTTGTCCCACGCCACACTCCGTTGCATCAGGTCTCTACTTGAAAGCTTCTGTAATTAGTGATTTACTGTAACTGCTTTTTTGTGTTAGTTTGCACACTATAAAGGACAAGTCTGTGGTTATCGACACTGTGCCACAAATGCAGTCCATAGAATCTAGGTTAGAAAATAACCCAGAATATTCTTTTAAAGCTCCATTAAGTCAGTGATTAGACTTATCCTGTGTCCATGAATCTAGCTGATCTTGCACACCGCAGTCTCTCTGTCTCTTTACAAGGACAGCTTTCACGCCATTTCAGCTCTGCATGCGGAGGCGTTATTGATCACTCGCAGCTTTATCAATCACTTATCGAGCTCTGTTCAATATTCCCGGCACTGTCAACATGTACACAAACACATACACAGACCTCACCCCTTCTGAGAGAGACACACTCAGCTGAACACTAGTGTGTCTGAGCCCATTGGGTTTGTGAATCATGATTTGTTGGTTAGACATCATAAATAATAAATGCTCTGGGTTTTACCCAAGACAGTGGCATAGAAATGAGTTGGGAACATATACAGTATATGCAATAAATGTACCATCATATTCTTTTATAAAAGAACCATCAGATGCAGATAATGATAATAAATTATTATAATGATAATAATAATACATGTGTATATATAGAATACAATATTTTATTAAATAAAAAATATTGTATATTTACATTTTCAATAATTAAAATTAATACGATTCTGAAATACTTATGTAATAATAATATTGATAATTTTCCTAGCAAAAATGTGTGTAATCGCATTATTCATATATAATGATGTGTGTGTGTGTATATACACTACCGTTCAAAAGTTTGGGGTCGGTACGATTTTAAATACTTTTAAAAGAATTCTCTTCTGCTAACCATGGCTGCGCTTATTTGATTAAAAATACAACAAGAATCAGTTATAGTATTAAATATTATTCCAGTGTAAATCAGCTGTTTTCTGTGTGAATATATAGTAAAGTGTAATTTATTCCTGTGATCAAAGCTGAATTTTCAGCATCACCAGTGTCAGTGTCTTCAGTGTCAAATGATCCTTCACAAATCAGTATAATATGAGGATTTGATGCTCAAGAAACATTTATTATTATTATCAATGTTGAAACAGTTGTTGGTCTGTCAGTTGTACAGTTTTTTTGTTTGTTTTTTAGGATTCTTTGATGAATAGGAAGTTCAAAAGACTTTTGTAACATTATAAATGTCTTTACTGTCACTTTCGATCAAATTAATTATTCATTGATAAATAAAAGTATTGATTTCTTTCCTCCAAAAAATAAAAATAAAATTCTCACTGACCCCAAACTTTTGAACGGTAGTGTATATATATACACTCACCGGCCACTTTATTAGGTACCCCATGCTAGTAACGGGTTGGACCCCCTTTTGCCTTCAGAACTGCCTCAATTCTTCGTGGCATAGATTCAACAAGGTGCTGGAAGCATTCCTCAGGGAGTTTGGTCCATATTGACATGATGGCATCACACAGTTGCCGCAGATTTGTCGGCTGCACATCCATGATGCGAATCTCCCGTTCCACCACATCCCAAAGATGCTCTATTGGGTTGAGATCTGGTGACTGTGGAGGCCATTTTAGTACAGTGAACTCATTGTCATGTTCAAGAAACCAATTTGAAATGATTAGAGCTTTGTGACATGGTGGAAGTAGCCATCAGAGGATGGGTACATGGTGGCCATAAAGGGATGGACATGGTCAGAAACAATGCTCAGGTAGGCCGTGGCATTTAAACGATGCCCAATTGGCACTAAGGGGCCTAAAGTGTGCCAGGAAAACATCCCCCACACCATTACACCACCACCACCAGCCTGCACAGTGGTAACAAGGCATGATGGTTCCATGTTCTCATTCTGTTTACGCCAAATTCTGACTCTAACATCTGAATGTCTCAACAGAAATCGAGACTCATCAGACCAGGCAACATTTTTCCAGTCTTCAACTGTTCAATTTTGGTGAGCTCTTGCAAATTGTAGCCTCTTTTTCCTATTTGTAGTGGAGATGAGTGGTACCCGGTGGAGTCTTCTGCTGTTGTAGCCCATCCGCCTCAAGGTTGTGCGTGTTGTGGCTTCACAAATGCTTTGCTGCATACCTCGGTTGTAACGAGTGGTTATTTCAGTCACTGTTGCCCTTCTATCAGCTCGAACCAGTCTGGCCATTCTCCTCTGACCTCTGGCATCAACAAGGCATTTCCGCCCACAGAACTGCCGCTCACTGGATGTTTTTTCTTTTTCGGACCATTCTCTGTAAACCCTAGAGATGGTTGTGCGTGAAAATCCCAGTAGATTAGCAGTTTCTGAAATACTCAGACCAGCCCTTCTGGCACCAACAATCATGCCACGTTCAAAGTCACTCAAATCACCTTTCTTCCCCATACTGATGCTCGGTTTGAACTGCAGGAGATTGTCTTGACCATGTCTACATGCCTAAATGCACTGAGTTGCCGCCATGTGATTGGCTGCTTAGAAATTAAGTGTTAACGAGCAGTTGGACAGGTGTACCTAATAAAGTGGCCGGTGAGTGTATATATATATATA